GGAGAGGGAGGGGGGACAGAGGGGGAGGGAGGGAGGGAGAGAGGGGGATACCCTGGGGGAGGGTAACTAGGAGGAAGAAGGGATCTCTTTCCCTCCTTGGAGTACTGGGTGAGGGGTGGGAGTGGCCGTGCAGGGGCAGATGCTGAGGCAGGGACTGGAGGATGGAGATGATAGGCAACGGAAGAAGAGAACGTCCTGGTCGGGCTGAAGCTGCAGGGGTCAGGGGTCACAGCTGGGAGGCCGCGGGAGGTTGCTAGCACACTGCTCCGGGCTTGCAGCCTGCTTTGTGGTGAAGCCCCGAAACTCAAGTGCGCGGTGTGCGGGGTTTCAGGAGGCAGAAGTTTCAGGTTGATGTGGTGGGCGGAGGGCTGAGGCCCCCTGAGCTTTCTGAGGTCTCCGCCAGGGCTGAATTTCCTGGTGCTTCTGGCTTGTTTCCTTGACTTGAGGATGTATGTGTATATGTTTTTACGTAGTTGAAGTGTTGGTGAAACTGGACTTTCAATTTTGTTACTTAACATACTGGAGCTATTATTTTTGTAATGCTGAAAGCCTTGAGGCCGGTTTGCATTATTGAGTCCCGGAGTTGTAACCCTGCCTGTCATTCCACTTTGTGAGAACACTTTCTACATCATCGATCACTTTCCTCTTTGGCCCCATAATCTCCTTGATCAGAAAATTTGGGACACTACCGAGTTACATGATATAACAGTACAAGTTCTCATATGTCACTGCAATACTTGGACTGTTAATCTGTGAAAGCCTTACTCAGGTTTACCCTTGCACTGCTCATCACTGCCACTTTGTTGATCTCTTTGCATTCTCATGTAAATGTCTGGTTTTGGAAGACTAATCTAAAGCCATCCAAGGAAAAGATTTTGGGAAATGTAGTCTCATATTTCTTCTAAGTAATGCAAAGAAGAGGGAGGCAGTAATAAATAGGTGGGTAAAGCAATAAAAATCTTGTATAAAAATCCTTCCTTTTGGCAATATTCTTCATTGAGTGACACTGGTAGATTGTCCTGCACTTGCAATAAGGAAAAATACTGTAAAAATTATTAAATTAGTAGCATAAACTTAATATATGGTTCAATGTGGCACGGTGTAGGTGTTTTGCATGCACTGATTCATTTAATCTTTCTAACACCCTTATGGGAGTGAATGATGCCATTATGCGAATATTTCTGCTAACAACTCAGCAAAACATTAAGTAACTAGTCAAAATGTATGTATCACTTCCAGCTCGTTACATTTTATGTGTGTAGGTGTGGTTCTGTGAATGTAATCTAGGGACTTGTAAATACAGGGCCTTGTGCATACTCAACAAGAGCCTTGTCACTAAAATATATCCCTAACCAAGTCACTGATTGTAGTGTTAAAATATTGAAAAATATTGTGAATAATATTTTTGTGGAAAAAAACTGATATAGGTATGCAAGATTGGTCAAATAATTAAAGATTGATTCTTCCTTTCATTTATCCTTCAATTTTCTCTTGTCCTTTTTTCTTTTTATTTTTAAATTTACTCTATAGACAGTATAATAATAATTGATAAGACATTAGAAACAGGATATTCAAACAGAGAGTGAGGTTAAGCTTAACAGCCTAAGTTGTATGGTAACAACAATAAGCTTCTCTTCTGGAGGGTTAACAACCTAAGTCTGCAGACCAAAATTAGAGAAAAAGGAGGGATACAAGGAAAGCCAACATTTTGGCCCTAGCCTTCCAAGGTCAATTAAGACTCAGGACATA